CGCGTGCGGAGCCGCCTGCAAGGAGCCGGGAACAGCCGCCGCGCCTCCGCACGTCCCCGCAAGTCCGGTCTCCCGGGGCGAGGCCGTCCCTGAGACCCTCCGCAGTCTGCAGGTACGTGCTACCCAGGTGACTGTTCGCACTCATACTACTCTCTTGCGAGCCTGGAAGGGCGTGGACGGAAGTGGTGGCTTCCAGGGCTCCCTGAGCTCTCCTGCCCAGGAGTCAAATGATGGAGAGTTGGAAGGACAGAGGAGCGGGTGAATGGAGAGGTTGGCGGCAGAAGGCAAGGTCCTCACCAGGTTTTCACACTCTCTCCAGACTCAACTCAAGGCTCAGAACAGCAGGATCGAGCTTCTCTTCCAAAAGGTGGCCCAACAGCAGCGCCACCTGGAGAAGCAGCACCTGAGAATCCAGAACCTGCAGAGCCAGGTACCAGATGCTTGCACCAGGAGGGCAGGGAGGTCCAAGCTGAACCTGTGAGTCTGGATGTGAGCCAGTCATATCTGACATTCTCTACCCGTCCTTCCCCAGGTGGGCCTCCTGGCCCCCACGCACCTGGGCCGCGGGGTAGCCACGCCTGCCAGGAGGAAGAGGCTACCCAAGATGTCCCAGCTTGTTGGCTCCACTCACAATATAACCCACCTATACAGTGAGTGTCCAGCCCTTTGCTGTCCTCTGGCAGCTCCCACCTCCACACACAGCATATACTGTGCCATTCCTGTACCCCACCTTGTCATGTCCATCTTACTTGAGGAGAGAGTCTTGGCCCTGGGTCCCTCTGGGCTCTGGTGAAGGGCTAATGGGGCACCTTCTTCAGCTCTGTCCCTGACTGCCCCACCCTTCTTCCCAGTGGGCCAGTGGGTTTTCCCCAAAGACTTGCTGGCCACTAATAGAGCAAGGGTTGGGAAAGAGGGTCCAAGTCTAAAAGGGATTTGGGCTGCAGGAGTGTGGGGAAGGCGGGGGGGGTGCAGGGACACTTCCATGGAGGTTGGAACTTTCTAGGAGGGCACATGGTGGACAAGAGGGTGCCAGCTGGGGCATCTAGAGTCCTTATTGGGTAAACAGCAAATGCCTGTCTGTGAGAAGGGTTCTAAGACTTGGAATGTGGATCTAGGACAGTGATGGCGAACCTTTTGAGCTCGGCGTGTCAGCATTTTGAAAAACCCTAACTTAACTCTTGGTGCCGTGTCACATATAGAAATTTTTTGATATTTGCAACCATAGTAAAACAAAGATGTATATTTTTGATATTTATTTTATATATTTAAATGCCATTTAACAAAGAAAAATCAACCAAAAAAATGAGTTCGCATGTCACCTCTGACACACTTGTCATAGGTTCGCCATCACTGATCTAGGAGGTAGACCAAGGGCAGGGACCCTATCTCCCTAGCCAGATGCATTCACTCTTGCATCTCTGACAAATCCAGGGCTGCTGATCTGAGCACCTGGTCCCTCATCCCATTCTTGGCCCCAAAGTACCTGATTACCCCCATTTCCCATTCCCTTACTTCCACAGAGAGCTAGCCATTGCCACCTCTGCAGTTCTGGGTCCTGTTTGAATGTATGCCTGAAATTGCCCCAAATTTCCAACCACATGTCTGTGTATGTCAACACAGGCTCCCAGCCTCCTGTCTCTGCCCCACCTTAAGTTCATGGCCCCAGAGCCAGCCGACTTCCCTCTGGTCCTCCTACCCCATCACCCGGCCTGGCATCTGTGTCTGTCTGTAGCCAACTGGGTAACAGTTCAGATTCTCCCCTTCACACCCTCAGACTGATTGCTGGCTTCCAGCCCTCTCTTTTGAGGGCTTCCCCCTCCCCCACCTCCACACGGCTCCCCCTGCCCCCACTCCTATCAGAAAGGATCCAGTACACCCTCGCAAATTTCTGTCCTGGGATGAGGGGCTTCTGGGATGGACTAGTAGGTATAAGTCCAGGCTGAGGGATGTGGAGGGGATTGAAGGGGGAAACTCATGGATTTGGGAACTCCCAGACTCCAGCTCAGTCCTGCCAAGTAGGGGAAAGTTCAGAGCTGGAGAGAGAAACAGCTGGTGCTAATGGAAACCACATTGGTGGTTTGGCCAGGTGCCTGTCCTGATTGGAAGAAAGGAAAGTAGGGGAAAGGGGAGCTGCCCCAGGGGCCAGAAAGTGTCTGCAGTCACTCTGGGCTGGCCCCCACCCTGGCGACGACGTTAGGACACACTCACCCCTTGTCCTGGGCCCTCACTCCCCCTTTCCCTCCAGCGACCTTTCCCCTACTTCCTTTGCTGGGCTGGGGGCGGGCCTTCCCACCAGCAGTAGACATCCTTCCTTTCTACTTCCTCCCTCCCTCCTCCTCTCTCACTGCCTCCCTGTCTCCCTCCCTTCCTCCCTCCCTCTCTCCCTTCTTTCCTCCTCAATCATTCAACTCCCCACCCTGGGACCCTGGGCAGAGTCTCTGTCCAGGCAAGTCCCATCCAGACCTGATCTGAATCCCCCACTAGACAAAGCAAAGCCTGTCCAGTTCAGCTCAGCTCTTGCCTCCCCTGCCCAACCCCCCATTCAGCTCCTGCAAATATTCATTTATCAATCATTCAGTCATTGTGTCTTTATTAAACACCTGCTGTGGACTAGGATCAGCCCAAGAACATTCCCTATCCCTGGCCTCATAGAGGCCTCATTCAGGGGAGGGAGTTGGGGAGAGGACTCCAGATGACCCTAGTGTTGCCAGTAGGAAGGCCTTGATGCTCCTTTCTGGGAGTCTGGTCTGGTCTGAGGGTCAGGAATTTCTTCCAGAACCTGGGACCCTTACATTGAAGCATAAAAAGGCATGAGGGAAGAGCATTCTAGGCAGAGGGACCAGCATGTACAAAGGACCTGTGGCAGGAAGATGTGTGGGACAAGGAAGGCTATGTGGCCAGAAGGTGGGCAGGCAGTGTGGGAAGAGGGAGGATGGGGGCAGAGGCCAATCCTGGAGCATCTTGTGATCAGTATTAAGGAAGGTCAAAGGGAACCATGGAAGACTTTATGCAAGTGAAGGGGAGGGTGTCCTGAACTCAGGATTGCCCTCTAATATCCCTGTTGCCCACTGCCCAGATTCTACATACACCTGTTTCCTGAGACCCCCGGGACTGCTCTCTGACTCAATCTCCCTGTCTCTCTTTGCCCTATAGGGCTGCCCAGGGACTGCCAAGAGCTGTTTGAAGAGGGAGAACGGCAAAGTGGACTATTCCAGATCCAGCCTCAGGGGTCCCTGCCTTTCTTGGTGAACTGCAAGATGACCTCAGGTAGGATGCGGTAGCCCACCAGGGAACTACTGTCATTCTGTCAAATTGCTGTGTCCTGGGGACAAAGACCTAGGCTGAGCCTCCCGCCTGCTGGCCAGTCCACAGTATTCCTTCCTTTGACCACCTTCCTCCAGTCCTGCTGGGATGAATGAGGGGAGTATTGCTGTCCCTGGGTTTGGAGGTGGCTTGGGGTTTTGGAGCCAAATGCAGGGATTGGATTCCCCTGTGACAAGGGTGCTCCTAGTGACCTTGTACCTGTCTGCAGATGGAGGCTGGACCATAATTCAGAGGCGCCAGGATGGCTCCGTGGATTTCAATCAGCCCTGGGAAGCCTATAAGACTGGCTTTGGAGATCCCCAAGGTGGGTGTTTCCAAAAGCCAGAGGCACAGGGAGAGGAGGGGGCTGTGGTGGTGGGTCCCTGTCTCACTGATGACCTTTCCCACTGTAGGAGAGTTCTGGCTGGGCCTAGAGAAGATGCACCTGATCTTGGGCGACCATGGCAGCCACCTGGCTGTGCAGCTGCAGGACTGGGAAGGCAATGCCAAGTCATTTCAGTTCCCCATCCGCCTGGGTGGTGAGGACACAGCCTACAGCCTGCAGCTAACAGCACCCATGGCCAGCGAGCTGGGTGCCACCACTGTGTCACCCAGTAGCCTCTCCCTTCCCTTCTCCACTTGGGACCAGGACCACGACCTCCGTGGGGACAAGAACTGTGCACAGAGCCTCTCTGGTGAGTAAGCTCTGTCCCTCCTGGTCTTGCCTGCGGGGCCTCCCCTCCCTGCCCTTCTGCTTCCCTGCCCTGCCTTCAACACAATTCCATCCATTACCCTCTTTTCCTTACTGGCTGTGTGCTGTTGGGCAACTGACTTAACCTCTCCCATCTTCAGTTGCCCCATCTTTAAAATGGGTATAATCACAGTGCCTACTCCATAGGATTATGATGAATATTCAATGAGATGACATTGTAGCAGAGCCACCAAGACAAACTCCGTCTTGTTCTAATGAAATCTAAGGCAGAGTCTAGGCCTTGTGAAGTGAAACATCAAACTCCCTTTTGGTGGGTCAAAAAATGATGGAGCAGCTGGGTGTGGCTCAGTTGGTTGGAGTGTCATCCCATGCACTGAAAGGCTGTGGGTTTGATCCCTGGTCAGGGCACATACCCAGGTTGTGGGTTCAATCCCCTGGTTGGGTTGCATAAGGGAGGCAACCCATCCATGTTTCTCTTTCTCTCTCTCTCTCTCTCTTTCTCAAATCGATAAAAACATCCTGAGGTAAAGATTAAAAAATAATAAAAGCCTGGCAAGTGTTGCTCAGTGGTTGAGCATTGACCCATGGACCAAGACGTCGCCAGTTCAATTCCCATTCAGGGCACATGCCCAACTTGTGGGCTCGATGTGGGGGGCGGGGGGGGTGCAAGAGTCAATCAATGTCTCTCTCATTGATGTTTCTATCTCTCCCTCTTCTTTCCTCTCTCTCTAAAATAATCAATTAAAAAACATTTAAAAGGGTGACTTTATAAATAAATAAAAAATACATCAAAAAGTGATGGAATACTGGTAATTTTTTTAAAAATATATTTTATTGATTTTTTACAGAGAGGAAGGGAGAGAGATAGAGAGTTAGAAACATCGATGAGAGAGAAACATCGATCAGCTGCCTCCTGCACACTCCCCACTGGGGATGTGCCTGCAACCCAGGTACATGCCCTTGACCGGAATCAAACCTGGGACCTTTCAGTCCGCAGGCTGACGCTCTATCCACTGAGCCAAACCGGCTTCAGCACTGGTAATTTTTTTATGGTTCAATCTAATATAAATTGATGAGACAGACGACAACCATAGAAAGTCTTTAATGAATGTCAGGGACAGGGAAGTAACTTGCCATGGTCACAGATGTGAGAGCTATGGTTATTGGGTTGAGGATCCCAGAGTCCCTGAGGCTCCTCTGTTACAACCTGTGGTTCTTCAGGATACAATTTGACAACCACTGCCAAAGCCCTCCCATCTAAAGTGTGTAAGTCCAATGCCTAGTCGCATCGCTATCCCAGCCCCAGTGGTTAGGCCCCGCCTAACCATGTCCCCTTTTTTTCTGACAGGAGGCTGGTGGTTTGGTACTTGCAGCCACTCGAACCTTAATGGCAAGTACTTCCACTCCATTCCTCAGCATCGGCAGCAGCGTAAGAAGGGCATCTTCTGGAAGACCTGGCGGGGCCGCTACTACCCATTGCAGGCCACCACCATGCTCATTCAGCCCAGAATGGATGAAGCAGCCTCTTAGCCTCCTGGCTGGGGCCTGGTGCCAGGCTCCTAGAGGACAGTGATTGTGATTCTGGCCCAGCATTGGCCACACTTTGCCTTGGGCAGGGGCTCTGGGCAGGGGCCATTTGGAGCAATGTGGACAGAGAAGCAGCCTATGACTGAAGAGGCCCCCTTTCTTAGTAGGGTGGCTATAGGTGATATACCCTCTGAGGACAGTACAGGGCTCAGACCACAGAAATGTGGGACCAACGGGCATTGAGGCCTGCTCTTTGCCTACCCAAGGAGTGGGAGATGCAAAGGGACCACTCGGGGGCAACCAGGCAGCCCTCAATGGTAGATTCAGTCATGTTGACTGGCAGGGGATGAGAGCACCCTCACGGTGCTATTGTATGTGGGTGCTGTGGGACAAGCCCATGGCACTGGTGTCTGGGTGGAGCTCACAGAATTCTTGAAATAAAAGCAGCTTCAGATTATTTTATTCTTCTTTGTCCTTAAGTTTGTTAAAAGTGGACAGTTTCAAAATCCAGGTAAACATGTTCTCAAAGTGGAGGTGAACACTCCCTGGTCTGTTAAGGACAAAACTGGTTATTCCTACCACCTCTGACAACTGATTTTTATTTCCTTCATTTATTATTTTATGATGTGTATGTTACTTTTATTTTCAAAATTGGAAAACAAAAGCCCCCATTCATTCCTTCTAGAAGCAGGTAAAGAGAAAATTAGAACACCCTCCTGATCATATTTATGCATGTGAATCACCATTAACCTCTCAGTGTCCCACCAACTGATAAAACTTTTTAAAAAAAAAGTAAAAAGAAACAGGTGAAATGAATTTTACAAATATATTTTATTGAATCCAATATATCAAAAATATTACTATTTCAGTATGTGATCAACATAGAAGTTATTTTTTTAAAATAAATCTTTATTGTTCATATTATTACAGTTGTTCCTCTTTTTCCCCCCATAGCGCCCCTCCACCCGGTTCCCACCCACGCCCCCCCGGCCTTACCCCCAACCCCACTGTCCTCATCCATAGGTGTATGATTTTTGGCCAGACTCTTCCTGCACCCCCCACACTCCCTTCCCACCGAGAATTGTCAGTCCATTCCTTTTCTATGCCCTTGATTCTATTCTATTCACCAGTTTATTCTGTTCGTCAGATTTTTTATTCCCTTGATTTTTAGATTCACTTGTTGATAGATATGTATTTGTTGTCACTTTGTTGTTCATAACTTTTATCTTTATCTTTTTCTGCTTCTTCCTCTTCTTAAAGAATACCTTTCAGCATTTCATCTAATACTGGTTTGGCGGAGATGAGCTC